AAGTGGTTCGAAGAAGCTTTTGATGAATGTGGCCACCAAGATACCAAGCAGTACCCAACACTCTACAAACACGCTACAGACATGACAGTCAGTCCGATGGCGACCAGCTTTCGTCAGACGCTCTCTGGAATTTACAGAGCCTCTTTCACTCTTGTATAATTTATGACAAACATCATTCTCTAAATTTCGCACTGATGGCTATCTTTTCATTTGGTCATGCAGCAAACCATTGAAGTCCACCATTGCCGGCGATGAAGAGCTTGAAGGGGAACACTGTTCATCGTGCGACGTTCGAACTTGTCGCAATGTCATACACTATTTCACCCCCGAGGTGAAACTGGGTTCTTAACCTGACTACGTTCCACTGATGACCTAAACACACGGTCGCTCGGCATTTCATTCTAACTAGAGTGTGTGCAGGGTACAAATTGTATAATGGGTAGTGGGGTTTTGTGGCGGAAGGACCAAATGTGGCCAAAGCGCGTCATGTCTTTAAATTGGTGTTGACAGCAACCAATGTGTCCGGCGATAGGATGTATTATTGCTGTATATTCCGGCATTATGTCTATGGTTCGACTCTCAGTGCCATGCAATTACCCACTGGGTTTTAAAAAAGTTATCCGCGCTACGATAGAATTACTCTGAAGAGGCCTCGGGTGCGGCCTCACCGCTTATCTACGCCGGAAATGCCCTCCCTCACCATAGAAGGATTGGCTACCCTGGTACAGTATACGTTCTCTACCTGAGACATGGATATGCCAATTAATTCTCGACCCTCAGTCTCCATCGGCTGCGGAGCAACTACAGGGTGGCGGTCAGATGCGTGACGCAGCAAAGGGTGCTAGAATCTTTCAGTCGGGATAGATCGCCATAAAATCTGAATTTTGCTGCATTTAACGCTAGATAGACATCAAGTGAGGCAAGTCTAGCTTTACAATTCAAAGAACTAGAGTGTGACAAATTAGATATGCAATAGGGATCACTGAGGGTAGAAGGACCGATGAGGCATACGCAGTGCTACAAAATGGGCACGTGCTTTTCTAACGGGGGGAGGGGTGCCCTATGTAACATAGATGAATACTTTAGCTATAATGAAAGGGTGGCAGGTTTCGTAATGTACACTCACGAGACACAAGATGAAGGCATTACAGACCTACGTGCTTACATAGAGCCATATTAACGTTTATTTGAAAGCTTCTATGAAGAAATGGCATCAAGAATGTGTGAGGTAAAAATACAGTATTCGAAATTTGTGGGTGACTTCATTTCCAAGGTATCAAAGAAGTAGGCTGGAATCCAAACAGTAGGGAATTGTGGCATTGATACTAGAAATGCTCGAGGGGAGTTTTTAGTAGAATTTTCAGAACGCAATCATTTGCGGATTTTCAATACCTGCTACCGAAAATGAATGAGCCGTAAAGTAAAATGACATGAAGGAGCCCTAAGGGCGAAACAACACTACATTTGTCAACATAAAGGTACGGTATGTCGTCAGTTCAGCATTAACAATTTCAAGCTTGAACAATTAAAACGGTGCCGTTCGTTCAAGAATGCTGGCCATGCGAATACTGTTTGTAGCGGCAGGACTGCTTCTATGGAAATGAGTAGGGCGTTATTACTGCACGACACATGCCACCATGGTACTGTAGCGACCTCGCATACGTGTTTCGCGTACTTTTTTTTTGCAGTTACTAATGTTATGTTATTGGCAGTACCAGCGCACAAACTCACGGGACGAAGAGAAGAGACACAAACAAGCGCTGACAGCCCATAATGCACCACCAACTAGCCCAACTATCAGCCCTGCTTGAGTTCCTATTGTACCTCACGACACCATCTCCCTGAGGGCGTTCATTCTTGACTCCTGTCAAGATGCATATTATGTATTGAGGAATTGCAGGACTAGAATTGTACCCGCTCGGCATTTTTGGAGCTGGATTTGTCCAAGTTTTCTCATTACGTACAATTAAAGTGAATGAAGTGGTGACAAGTACCAATTACCCGAAATGTAATTAGAATAGAATGAAGCCACCTGTTGCGCAACACCGGCCGCGGGTTGAGCATGTATGGTCCGACAGGCTGTTTGAAGCACAGTTACTATTTCAGTAGGATGTGCCGTAGATGCAAAAGTGTGTGTTTAATTGGTAATTCTTTGTTATCTCTTCATTTTATTCGGTGCATGTGGATCACATTCCCTTTTTTCCAAACTGCCAAAAGTTCTTCATCGGATAGATTCATTTGGTCACCATCCGACACGACGCCTTATATGTTCAGGGTTTGGTGGGTTTTAACGGTGGTGTGCTGATCACCAAATGCTTTCAGTTTACATAGACGCTCATGCTGTGTATGGTCTTGCAGTTTGAGAAGCGGGTAACCACTGACAGACTTGGTGGCTTTGCAGCCTGCACCTAGGGCTTCCATCAGCCGCTTGGATACTACGAAAGCTCAAATGATTTTCGCCATTTTTTCTGTACAGTCACAATGAATTATGTGAGGCTTGGGGAAGTTAGCCTTCCTTGACGGTGCAGTTCAGAAATGTCTATAGCATTGGTGCACGACCCCTTTGAGGGGGCGATCAGTTCAAAAGGGGCTATGAATAATGCTTATCCGGCAGCCATGCCAGCCGCCCAACATGGAGCCCAACGAGGGGATGCTAAAAGACACGGAGGCTACCTGAGCTTCAGTTGTACATGGCCGCTCTAACCAAATAAAACCACCCCAAATTCAGCAACTACACAAGGTAAACCCGTACCACCAGGAAAACTAGAAGAAAATGAAAAAAGTAGAAGACGAGGAAAGAGCAAAAAGAAAAAAAAACGATTATATGTGAAGAGACATAAGAAAAAGCGACTGCTGATTTCCCCTAGGTAGGTCAGCCCAGGGGTGCCGTTCACTTGAAGCTAGAGCCAAAGGGGTGTTACGTCTGCCGGGATCCTTAAAGGTCCAATCAGGCCGCACTGGCTCAACCCCAGGGATCCCCTTTTCCGCGCACATGGCTACGCTACGCACGGCTAGGCGTGACAAAGAGTCGAAAGCTCCCTACCCATTAGCTCGGGTTCATCATGTCGCCCCACAGCAAATGCCTGCCTGTGCAGACGCCTCTGCGCGGAGGATAGGAAGTAAGGCACGCCCTTGTACGTGTACTTGGCCTAGCGACTGTATCAGAATGCAGTGTAACTTTTGCGTGGATAGATAACGTTTGGTATGCATAGTACTGAACGATGATTGACATGTGGGGTTTAACGTCCCAATACCACCGATTATGAGAGACGCCAAAGTGGAGGGCTCCGGAAATTTTCACCACCTGGTGTTCTTTAACGTGCACCTAAATGTGTGCACAGAAGCCTAGAGCATTCTCGACGGCATTGAAAATTCAGCCGCCGCAGCCAGGATTCCATTTGGCAACCTTCGGGTCAGCAGCTGAGTACCTAAGCCACCAGACCACCGTGGCGGGGTGGTATGCATAGGATCGCGGATGATTACTCCTGGTGTCACTGTACTGTGGAGTTCTTTTGCCGAGCACAATACTTCATTGCTCAGTTCAGACGTACAGTCACGTCTAGCCTGTTTAGATTCTACTGTTATTGTAAACTAGCGGGAGCACGTTAGTTTTCAGGAGCGTGTCTCTAACAGTTCTCGGCGAGCTGGACAAGTGAAGGAACAGTGAGAAGCACCAAAGCAAAAACGAACGATGCAGTACTGCTGAGCATTGAAAGGGGTGTTATTGACACCCGTTACTTGTGGAAATAAAGCAGGCAAGTGCTTTCGAATACTGTCAAGTTTTGTAGATACGATTTTGTATAACACGTTATTTGGCCCAATACACTGTAGACCAACACTCTCTGAAAATAACGCATAATAGTTTCTTTAGTACAATCAAATTTTTAGCCAAAATGGGATAGTCAAGACAGCAGCATGAGTCCCTGTATCGCAACTAAATGGTTACTGTCAGGCAGGGCCGCTGCAACCAACCAGACCGTGCTGCGCCACGCGATTTATGACGCCATCTCGCGAAAAATTTCATTCATATTGCATGTAAGTAAAACTTTTTACGGCTCAAAGTGATTAAGTATGAAACTCCAAATTTCCTCCCTTCCTGCCACTTTATATGAGTGCGAGTTTTGCATATCTTTTATTTGTGATTCCAACAACAACTACAAAAACTTTCCGCCACTGCAAGAAGTGAATCATGACGTGTGCGCGAGGTACTAAGCGTTAAACCAGCCGCCGACTCACGCATGTAAATTAGTGACAACGCAGTAGTACACTATATACAGTGTTTTTTAGCTTGCCGGCGTTGCCTCTTTGCCACTGCTTCCCAAACTCTTGCCTCCGGGCTTGCATTTTTTATGCATAAACGTTGCCTTCACCAGCGAGAGCGTGTTCACGTTCGTTTTCGTAAATGACAGGAAGCGAATGAGTGGTCTGGAAGCGTTATTCTTCATTGTCCTCGGCCACATCACAAACAAAGGGCACATATTGCCTTGAAGATGTCTACGGTGTGCCTCACCACAATTACGAATGAAACAATGTCACAGCGAGTGCTTTCCGGCTTTATGCAATTATGGTAAGCTTACAGCCACATAGATACGTTTACACACAAGGGACAAGCCTAGACGCTAACATGCTTCACCCCTAAAACGCATAAACCCTATTTTAATTCGCATTTCAAGTGCGCTGCTCCTTGTTGCTTCATTCAAACGCATTGGTATATCTTCGCCAGCCTCGTCAATTCTTAAGGCCTGGGTATACAAAATTTCCTCAATTTATGCTGACACCAGGAACAAAACTTTCATTGTTGCACGCGCAAGTATTGTTAAAAGTGATTAGGCCAAACTGTCAGAAGTTTTCATGAATACCGGCCTGAGAATAATGAATCACAACTAGGCGAGTATGAGCTAGAGAAGCAGGAACAGGAGCTGCTGATTTAGGACTCAATAATTATGAAGACATTGGATCAAACCATTGATAAAAGCAATTGGCCACCGAGACATGCCTACCTGATTCTCCATAGCTAAGCAGGCCTGGGACTGAGGTACTGGATAGTCCTTCCAGTCTACTTCACTGCCGATGATCAGCGGTGCAAAAAGTGGAATCTGCGTATCGATGGGCACCCTTGGGTAGAGTAGCAAGTTCACGTAATGCTTCTCCATGCCTCCAGCCTCAATCAAGAGAACCTTCGTGCTTGGGTCAGCCGACAGGCGGTTAGCCAGTACGCATCCCGCCGAGCCTCCACCCACTGCTCATGGAAAAAAAGAAAACAAAAACAAGTCAGAACTCAAAGTTATCTGCCGCGCCCGCCATTGCAGTCAAGTTTCAGCGTTCACACTTGTGCGATTGTTAATAAAAGGCAATTATTGCGCATATAAGAGGCACAAAAGCAGAACGTCAATAATCTGTGGTGTCTTTTTATACTAGAGCAGGCATAAAGCAGTGATTCTAATCATATAGCGTTTATCACGCTGCACTGACAATGCAACGCTACGCACAGACAGGCAACTGTTTCCAACGATTTGCCAAGACAACACGGACGTGGCACCTACCTGTCGCTTTGCGTTCTATAACTTGCGCCTCTGAGACAGCGCGCACGCCATCCTTCCTTTTCGAAGATAACTGTCGGATAGCACTCATGTCTCACGTGCCTCGATGCGCTCGTTATCCTTCGCTGCACGCATCGACCCACTCTAACACAGCACTTCCAGAATACAATAACCATATTTCTCGCACAAAACATCTGTGAGGGATAAGGTTCGGGCAATCACGGCAACTTAAATAATCGTTGTCGAGACTGACGAAGGCATTTGCAACTTGAGTTATAAGGCTTTAATGCCACGAAAAGAAAGAAAAAAAACGATAAAGAAGCTTGGCGTGTTATATGGCAACAGCGAAGAACTGCCTTAAGTACGAGCACGACACACGTTCTAGAAAGACAAGGTCTGACGCTTAGCGTAGTCCCCCACTGCACTACACAAGGTTTGAAACACTTCACCGTGTGACGTCGAAGGCAGATGAGTCGATGCGTTGCGTTGCGTCTTACGCCGACATCAGCGATGCCTCAGGCATGGTCGGAGCGGAGCGTGAGGCAGAGTCGATGTGTGGCAAGCACGTCCCGGACAGCCAGTAGTAGGCCCAGGTCTGGAAAACGCCCGGATCCGAGTACAACGGACCGGCGCCGGCTGCTGGATCACACGGTAGAAGGGAGCCAGGCTCGTGCGGACCACAGGCACAGGTAGGCTTCGGGACCACGACCCGACGAGCGCTTCAGCCTGCCACTGTTTCCTTCCGATCCTTCTTCTCGAACGCCCCGTCGTCGTCTTCCTCTTCTCTCTCCCCATGGCTTGGCTTGACTTTGACGACACGATTCCGCCTTTTCCTTGTCTCATCGTCATCTTCGTCGGCGTACGGCACAGCACAAACTCACAAACATCGCGCACCAGATGAACCTACCGCGCATATCATGACAAAAGTCCCCCCTTTCAAAAGTTTTTTTTTCCTTTTTAAAAAAAAACTGTCCAAAGTGCGCGGGAGACAAGACTTACGACAAACAAATGTACAGAACTGTTGCACCAAGAGAATAGTCTGTATGTGAGAGTCCCTAGGCATATGGTACATTATTACATTAATGTGGTATAGCTAGCACCTTCACCTGTAGCCTGCTCATATAATCAGCACCTACGTTCGAATGGCGTGTCAATCAAAGGCATTCGTCCAAGAGGCGCCTTGCCTACTTTGCCTTTGGGATATGTCCTTTGGCATGCGTCGCATGATTTTACGAATCTTCGTACCTCCTCCTGTACACCGGGCCAATAAAACGACTCCAAAAGTCGGTCCTTCGTCTTCTTGATACCCTGGTGACCAGATATCGGTGATTCATGTGCCAAGTGCAACACATGGACACGCAACGCCTTTGGAACCACCGCGTGTTGAACTGATTTACCCGGAGTCAAGTGGTAAACGCGGTACAAGATTCCTTTCTCGAACATAAATGAGTGGTATGTGGCTCCTTTACCGCGGATGAGGGTGTCGAATTTCGCCCTACAAACATCCAGCGACCGGTCTTCCTCTTGTTTTTGGCGAAATGACTCCTGTGTCACCTCTAAGTTTCCAAATTTAGCACTCGTGAGCTTCCGGCGATGTCCTTTGCTTGAAACACCAACCATGACTGTGCTCTTCGTCCCGCATCCATCCTTGGATTTCTCTTCAGAATTCAATGCCTGATTAGTTTCCGACTTCAGGCTCGCTGACTCCTTCCACGTTGAGTCGGGGTCATTAGCGTCACGGGCGCCGGGAACATTTCCTACGATGACATCGTAAAGTGGCGACGTCATGCATTTGACTATCGCATTTCCGGTGAAATAGGGCGATAGAATCCGTACTTCTGCTTCCGGTACCTCGATGCAACTACCATCGGCCAATAAAATAGTGGCGGTAGTACCCGTCAGCGCATCATCGGGAACGAGGGAACGTCGCACGACCAGGGTGTTGCTTCCAGTATCCCTCAAGACTGATACAGTATGTCCAAACACTTCTCCCTGTAACACCGGCAAGTTTCGTGTAGCTGTTGCGGTGCGCGTTCGGAGTGCACTAGCAACATGTTCATCTTGTGATGAATCATCGGCACATCGGGGCGTCTCGGACTTCTGGTCAGTAGACACGATGCAAGATGTCATTTTCTTTGACCCGCCGTTGCTTGGGCATGCTCTTGCATCGTGGCCGGACTTCCGACAGTGCCCACAGAAGACTCGTTGGGGTTTCGTGCGGCAATCAGATGCTCTGTGGCCGGGTCGATCACAGACGAAACATCTAAGAGGAGGCTGGGTATAAGTAAATCCTTCTTGCTCCTTGGGAATGTTGTTTGCAGACTTGGTACGAAATACCAACAAGTTTGTTTGCCGCTGGGCTTCCAAGAAGGTATCAGCTGCTTCTGCCATTTCTTTTACCGTCCTGCATTTCTTCTCCCTTAGAAAAAGTGCCAGGCGATCGTGGCAGTTATTCAGAAACTGCTCAGCTACAATGAGGTTGCGCACGGATGCAAAGTCCTCGTCCGTTTCCGACATTTCCAGCCATCTATCGAAGTGACTCTGTAATCTCGTGGCGTACTGTTTACCAGTTTCGCCATCTTCAGGCTTGCTTTGCCGAAACTTTTCGCGATAGCCTTCGGCTGTGAAACGAAACCTCTGGAGCAAGGCCACTTTCGTACTCTGGTAATCCATTGAGTCTTCTGGCGACAGACGACCGAAGACTTTCAATGCTTCCCCACTGAGGCATAAACTAAGCGCTGTCACCCACTTCTCCTCAGGCCACTCTTGACCAACTGCTACGCGTTCGAACCTCTTGAGATACGCATCGAGATCGTCACGCCCCTCGTCAAACACTGGGATCAGGTTGTGAGGATTGATCAAGCACGGGCGGCTTTGACTCCTCTCAGGTTCGCGGTCCCGCGCTGTTGGCTCTCGGCTACCTTCAACCTCAGCTAGTCGAATTCGCAGTTGAAGAATTCTCTCTTCTATCTCCAAACGTTCCTTCGCCGCCTGCCTTTCCGCGGAACGCTCTTCACGCGCTTGCACAGATTCCTCATGAGCCCGCTCTAACCGCGCGTCTACCCACGTCTTTAGCTCGGCTCCTTGAAGCCCCATGCGTTCCGCTAGCATTATAAGCTCTTGCTCAATCATATTCCCTATAGATTTCAACCCAGTGCAAACGGCTTCGTCCTGTCGCGCGGACGCCAATTGTGAGGGATAAGGTTCGGGCAATCACGGAAACTTAAATAATCGTTGTCGAGACTGACGAAGGCATTTGCAACTTGAGTTATAAGGCTTTAATGCCACGAAAAGAAAGAAAAAAAACGATAAAGAAGCTTGGCGTGTTATATGGCAACAGCGAAGAACTGCCTTAAGTACGAGCACGACACACGTTCTCGAAAGACAAGGTCTGACGCTTAGCGTAGTCCCCCACTGCACTACACAAGGTTTGAAACACTTCACCGTGTGACGTCGAAGGCAGATGAGTCGATGCGTTGCGTTGCGTCTTACGCCGACATCAGCGATGCCTCAGGCATGGTCGAAGCGGAGCGTGAGGCAGAGTCGATGTGTGGCAAGCACGTCCCGGACAGCCAGTAGTAGGCCCAGGTCTGGAAAACGCCCGGATCCGAGTACAACGGACCGGCGCCGGCTGCTGGATCACACGGTAGAAGGGAGCCAGGCTCGTGCGGACCACAGGCACAGGTAGGCTTCGGGACCACGACCCGACGAGCGCTTCAGCCTGCCACTGTTTCCTTCCGATCCTTCTTCTCGAACGCCCCGTCGTCGTCTTCCTCTTCTCTCTCCCCATGGCTTGGCTTGACTTTGACGACACGATTCCGCCTTTTCCTTGTCTCATCGTCATCTTCGTCGGCGTACGGCACAGCACAAACTCACAAACATCGCGCACCAGATGAACCTACCGCGCATATCATGACAACATCAATTAAAAGTTCTTCCCTCTCTCCAGACGCAAGATTATTGTCTTTCGACGACATTTCCAGTAAAACATTATGATACGAGGCCCAATTTTTCAACCAGTGGCCGTGCCTCTGGTGTAAGTGGAGGCCGCTAGAAGTGCTTCGCCATTTTGTATCATAAATGTGCTTACTTCTCTCTCTCCTTACACCCACAGCGTAGCAGTATTATGATCATAATTGCGATGAAGGCGTGGGCTTCCAAAAGCTGCAGCAGGGCATGGAGAGTCGAGAAGCCGAGCCTTATGGTCCGTAAAGTATATAGATCTCTAGACGTAGTAGCTTCACGTTGATAATAAGCGATTTATTCATGACCCAAAGTGAGTCTTAGATGGCAAGGCATAAACAGAACATTGTCTGCCTGACTAAGGGCCTTTACACGCGCTACCCACGCAGCCGGAGCGCACGTTACTCGACCCCTGCCGCACGCAAGCGGGGGACAAATAAGCCATTTGGCGACGCTCTTTTACCCTCCGCAGCGTCACCAATTGGCTTATTTGTCCCACGCTTGCGTGCGGTAGGGGGGCCGGCGCGTGCGTTGCGGCTGGGCGGGAAGCGCGTGGAACAGCCCTAAGGCCTTGCCACTCATACGTTGCTACAACAGTGCGGCTGCGTACGGCAGCATAGAATGAAAGAGAATACATCTAGGATTTGTGCAATAGACAAACAAACAAATGAGTTACATGTAAATGGCAGAAAAAAACACAATTTCAAGCAACAAATCCTTCACATTATGTGAGGAA